TATTCCATTACATTGGAAATACGAGAAATAAAAAATAAAATAATCGATCTCACTACATATTCACTAGAATATATTTATAATGTTTAATGAGCTGTATGTTTTTCATTTACAAAATTTTTCTGCACATGTACATCATATTTCACAATTAATAAAATTTATTAAGTGACTGTTATGTTCTGAGAACATTCATCAATAAGTTTTGTTGATCAAAAAAATGGAAACTGGCCAAAATTTTAGACACATTTTCTGAAAATACTATTTTTCAGGTGCTGTTCAGTGGATTCAAAGCAAAAAATTATATTTTTAAATAATTTGTATTTCTGAGTTAATCTCAAAATTGCTTAAATATCATGATTGCACATGAAACATAGGTTAAGAAATTACCCCCAAAACCAATTTTACACGTTTTTCCCCTGTCCTCAGAAGCAGGTTGTATGGTTATGACTTTGGAAGCTGAGCTTCTACTTAGAGCCTATTTTTATGTCCTTTGCTTCAGACCAGAGCCTGCAGAATTCTGTTCTTACTATCAGAGACTCAAGCTAGCAAAAAGCAATAAGCCAATTACATTGTAGTACATATTATTTTTCTGAATTAGCTTTTAATTTCCAGTGTATATTTGACCCACTTATCCCCAAAACATCCTTCGCCAATAGACTCAATTCCATTTGAAAATAAATGGAAGGTGCAAGGGGCTTGCAGCCTAATAAAATAAGAACTGGTTATAAAAACTAGTAGGCATCATCAAATAATAATGTCTACTCCTTCATAGAGTGACTTTATTCAGGCTGACAAATTTTTATCATCAATGAAGGCTCTCAATTTATCAACAAATAGAATATTAAAATAAACATCAAAATATTATTCATTCACCACTTGCAAAATGCATAAAAACCCTTAAAAGTTCATGCACAAAATTCAGCAGATTACTTCATTTCTATAAACCTTAGTTTCCCCAACAGTAAGAAAGACACAATAATAGCATCCATTTTTTTGTAAGAATTAAATGATTTAGAGCTTATAAATAGTATATGACGTGGTGTCTGTATACAATACAAATTTTTAAAAATATTGGCTTAATCATTAAAAATAGTAGTTGTAACAATGGAGATACAACATTTATTTCAAAATAACCTTCCAATTTAGAAATTTTTAAAAAAACAAGTCAAGCTCTTCCCAGTAAGTAATGTCCAATTCCTAAAGTGCTAGAAACTAGACATTTCAAAGGAAAAATATTAAGTGATCACTTATTTGAATGTCCAGTCCAAAGAACTGTAGAGAACACAAAGAAAATTTCTCTCATACTGAAACATTCTTGTGTTTTCTAACCAATAAAATAAATTAGTCATTCATTCATTTATTCAACT